GGGCAGTTTTTTTTTGGGGGGGGCTGATTTCTTAAAGCCAATATTTATGTGATTATGTTTTATCTTAATCCCCTAAATTTCCACAATCGGTGCCATTGGTTTCTAGGGTGTATCTAAAGTTAGCCGAGATGATAGGTTGATGGTGAAATCAAAGATCGCCAACTGAGTGGGAATCCTGGCCGGACCAGGGTGGGATGTATACGATGAAAGTGTGGAAGAGAAGCAGCTGTGCCGCTTTGCGAGGGAAGCGGCCTGCTTGCATCGTTGGAGTTGGAGATGGCCTGGTTTTTTTTAAACCACAGGGTGGTTGGGGTACCCCTTTGTTGGATTGAATTGGGGACATACTCAAACTTCGTTGCTAAATCAAGGCCTTGAAAGACTCCAGATGTTGAAGTAATGATTCTGGTCGGTTCCACTGGCTCTATGATCTCCAGTGGCTTTCCACTGTCAAGATTGATTACCCTCTGGTGAACTAACATAGCAATGGAAAATGGCCATTTATAGTGGATTTTCCCATGAAAAATGGTGATTTTCAATTGCTATGTTAGTTCACCAGAGGGTATTCATATTCCCGTTACCCTTAGCATGTATTGGACAAGATTGTAACAGTTGTAACACTTCCATCCCCATTTTGGCTGGTTAGATACTCCGAAATTGATGATGAATTATTAGTGTTACTGTTTAGCGAGGACATTTCTTGGAAACTGAATCTCTTGTTGGTTGGTATTTGATGTAAAATACAACCTGTGGTTCACCATGTGAATCAGTGTCCATCATTGACTCCTAGAATTGGTGGATGAGGAACATTAATAAAAATATAAATTACAGGACACCCCCCGAATCCCCCCCCATATTCAATACAGTAGGATCAAACATAGTTTCAACCGTGGATTGACTTAGTAATATCTCATTGATGATGGAGAACCCCTTAAATTTTCCCAACAGATGGACCTTTCCTACGTGAAATCCCATGAAATCCACACTTTTCATGACCCCACATGGTTTTTACACGCATGATTGTTGGTGAAATTCGCACGATTCCCGTTTTAACCAGAGACATCTCCATTTTTGTTGGTCAAATCCCATGAAATCACCATTTTTGGTGTTAAAATCCAGTGAAATCACCATTTTTGGTGTTAAAATCCAGTGAAATCACCATTTTTGGTGTTAAAATCCAGTGAAATCACCATTAAATCCAATTAAATCCAATGAAATCTCCAGAAAAACAACGACTTTTCGGAGGCCCTGGGAGCCTGGCCCATTTTCCTGGACAAACGACACCGGCGTGGTTTCCTCCATCGCTTGGATGTGCCGAGTTCGGGGCTGGTGGCCACTTGGACCGCGGAGTTGAAACTCAGAAAAAAATGGGGATTTAACCAGCAAAAATGGTGGGAGAATGCTGGTATAATGCGATCATGATGGATAAAGAACATGGTATTTGATGGGGTGATGACCAAACATGGTAGCATTATGGTGGGACAGTGATGGATAATGATGGATACGGCTAGCAAAATTATGATGGTGGATATTAGTGGGAATACAATTGGAAATAATGGGTAGTAATGATTTTCATGATGGATAATGTTGGATAATTATCATAGAGATATCCTAGGGATACCCTCTGGTAAACTAACATAGCTATTGAAAATGGCCATTTATAGTGGATTTACCCATTAAAAATGATTATTTTCCATAGTTATGTTAAATTACCAGAGGGTAGCTATTGAACATCACCATGTTTAATGGGTAAATCAACTATTTCGACTGGGCATTTTTTTTCAATAGTTATGTAACAGTTTACCAAAGGCTAACCTAAATTCAACTTTTTGGACATTTATGAAATGATGGGGGTCACCCATGAATTTGAGGGTTACCACTTCTTTGTTTGGGGTTAACATGTTCAACTGTTTGGCCATTAGAAAACACATGGGTGTACCATTGTACCATGGCTTTAGCCACCCTGAAACGGGGAGAAGAATTAGCCAGTGTACATAGCCGGGCCTGTTGAAGGGGCCCAAAAAGATTGTCGAGTTTTTGGATCATGTTGGGGGATTTGTTGGGTGTTTCCACGTCAAGACCCATTTTTGGAAGCTGACATTTCGAGATATTTCCTGCTCAGAAAGTACATGACATGTTCGTAAACTGTGTAAATCATGCAGTGTTTCCTGCCAGTTTGCAGGTGTTTAAACACATATTCGGAACAGATTCGGCTATTTCCTGATATTTCCTGAATCTAGGAGGACAACGTGGTTGAACAGCTGAGGTGGTGGCCAAGACATATAAGTCATACTATGACCTACAGGTGCGGCGATGGGATGGGAACTGCACGTAAGGTGACCGTGATGGCGATGTTGTTTCTTGTCGCTAGGAACATGCTGTACCCCCTGGTAAATTAACATAGACCCTGAAAATCACCAATGTTTAATGGAAACTAGTCTTCCAACCCCTATCTGCCAGGGTCTATGTTAATTTACTGGAGGATAACATGCTCATTCTGTCTAACTTTTCATCCACGGGTTTCAGCCATGATGACATGATATATCATGATATCATTGATATGACATGATCTTGCCAGGTTCAACTCAGCACCGAAATGGCCAGGAAATATGTGGCCCGGTAGCACTGAAAAATAGCGACGCAGCGTGGAAATGACTGGTTGGCGGTTTCAAAGATGTTCATGACTTCATTCCATATTTCATGTGAAACCGGTTAGTGATGATGATTCCAACTTACTTGGGATGGATCATAGCCACCCAGCTGCTCAAATAGATTGTGTTTGATTGACCGCTCACCCCCTGATGTTCAGCCCCCATGCCACGTGATTTGGTGAAACCTTTGGATCAGAAGTCACTCATCTACTGTAAGTGCCTGTGTCCAGAAATCGGTCATACCGGAGTCATACCTAAAACGGCAGTTTCAGTAGGAAAAAAATGATGATAGATCCCTTGGGTAGGTTTTCTTTCCCTTCAGACAGGAAAGTGCCGAACCCCTGACCACGGTGATTAGGTGGTGATGGCCCATGGCTGGCTCAGCCCACGAGCCATCGAGGCCCGCTTGCCGTAAATAGCCGCAGAAGCCGAAGTAACAACTAGTAACAATGGGATATTGTAATAATAGTAACATCCCGAATCCCATATACATATAAATATCTATATATACACTATATATATATATATTATACATACGTGCATATATATATATATGTATACTACATACATTTTTGCATATTCATAATAATAATAAACATAATGATCATAATAATAATAATTATTATTATTATATATACAGTAGTGCAATAATTTTACTAGCAAATTTGTAACTAATAGGTTCGCATATGGTTGACATGCTAGCTGTTACTCAAAAAAGTCACCATGACCAACAAGCGGTTTGATTTGTTTTGTTGTGAAAAATCATACTGTAATATTGCCTGTATAACTGTAATGGTTGCAAATCATAATTTGCAAACAGTTGTATATTTAACAATGAACTTCAGTGCAACTTGTATTGTGGTCTTAAGCCAAAATTTCATAATTTTAACGTGGAGTAGTGCTTAGCCAAACTTGATTGACATCTTTCTTGGGCACGGCCCACAATCCAACGTCAGGCAAGCGTCTTCTGGTGGGATGATGGCCCAACGGTGGCAGGTGGCCGCGGGAAACTTGACTGGGATCTGATAACGCCTGCGGGGGTATAGGGTAAACACCATGGGGTTTCCTATGAAGCTGTACCCTTAAACCGATCCGTTAATAAATGCAAGAAAATACAGACATTGTTTTCTTTGGAACTTGGGGATTGCTGGGAATACAGTATACTGTATATGCTTCAGTTGCTACACACATACTAGCTTCAAAGAACACCTATAGGTAGGATAGAGAGGATGCGGAGTTTTTTCCTGACAGCAGAACGAAATACCAGTAAAGTGTGGTTTCCAACACTCGGCGGGTTAAGCCTAAGCCAGCCCAAAAGATGATAAAATGATGTGGATCCAGGGTGATTTCGGTCACATAGGACCACCCAGCACCCTGCTCTCAACACAAGGAAATCCAGCCGCAGCAACGTCTGGAACTCAGAGTCGGCCGGAACTACCAGCTTCCAATCAATACCGGGTCAATACCGAATAAATTAGAATCATATACCATTTGAATAAGGGACCAATCAACATAATCAACCAAGTTGAGGCCTTGGTTTCCAAACCATATTCTTTTTACCCCGTGTTTTCCCATGTTTTCCCCAACTCCCGGCCAAGGTCCTGGCCTCCCGGCGACTCCTTGGCGGTTCCAGCAGCTTCTCCCTGCTGCGGATGGAGATTCTGACGGGCCGAAAGCATCAGATCCGGAGCCATCTGAGTCACTGTGGACATCCCACGGTGCCGGGGTCGGGTCAACAGGGTCCCCAAGGGATTACAAAACACTTGGGGGGTGCTGCCGGTGCTGCCCCAGTTATATATAATATATATAATTATATATATATAATTGAATGAATCTATGTGATTTTACAACCATATAGTTTTAGGGGTGACGGGTTATATATATATATATATGCATTGAGATATTGTCCCAACTTATGGTTGGTTGAGGGGTCATGTTTTATGGATCTGAAGCCCTCTGTTACAGGGTCTGAATGGAGGAATCCCAGCTAGGAATGTCTTTCCTATAGATGATTATGTTTGACCATCACGTACCGTGGTTTAGGGGTACATGGCCAGGTTTCAACTTTTGATTTTTGTTGATCATATTGAATGAACTCTACAGGATGGGGCCCCCCAGTGATGTTTGTTGGTTTATAAACCATGAAATAACCACCATTAACTATAGTTATATCTACCATAAACTATTGTTAAGCCACTTATAAACCAACTTAGCTATCTTGGGGGCCCCATCCTGTACTGTATTTATTCATTCGGTTTTAACATGGTTTAAGCGTAGTCTTATGCACATGTTTAGACGATGGGATTGAGTGTATCTGGGAGGTTGGTCCGGGAGGTGCAATGAAGAGGATATGCAGATGTAATTAGTTTGATTCAATGGTGATAGTGCTAGATCTTAAGTAGTCATACGTAGCTGAGGGATATGCAAGATTAAATAATATTTACAGTAACAGTTTATCCTTGTTTCAGGATGGTCCCCCAATTAAAACCGCCACAATCATTGGTTGATTGTGGCGCTTTTCTATGTGTCATCAGTCATCGGTGATCCAGCAGGTCTCTGATGGCCTCTATGCCGCGACGGACGTGTACATCAGCGATTGCAGTTTCTGTGGCTGGCCATACGTCGGATTTTCCAAGTTGGCTTGGAAAATCCCAATGGTTCACTATACCCTAGGTGAAGTGTGAATATGATCACCACTGTGGGTAAAATGAAATATACAGTAATATACTATATATATATATTACATAATATACCATATATATAGTACATAATATACCATATATAGTTAATATTCTAAAATAATATCCTGATATAATATATCATTTCACATTGAGAGTTGTCGTTGTTGGCCTGAAAAAAAGGCGCCTAGGGATCGACCCCCAAGTCAAACTGGTGCCGGATCTTGGGTACATCCACACTGTTGGTGGCAGCAAAAAACATGAGATAAACTCTATTAAACCACAATATACATATATAATCACATATATATATATATATACACATATTATTTATATCTATATGTTTATAAACATATTATTTAATATATATTTTTTTTTTAATATATATATGTATATATATATATGTATATATATATATATAGCGCCGGACAACTACTTAGAACATCGTTTTGGATTTTTTTCGGTGGGTACGCGCCCTCTACTTAGAACATTTTCGGCGAATAGGGGACGTATGTTCTAAGTGACTTAGAACATATGAGGATCCTCTACTTAGATCACGCCATCATATATACATGTAAATATATGTATATGTATACATACATACAACTTAACACTGCATATTTATATTATATATACAGGAGGTGTGATGTTGCGTCAATTGGGGCGGAGTCTTGGTGACCAAGAAGCACAACGCTGTAAAGGAGGTCATCCTCCATGGGGACTCTGGTGGGTGTTTGATTAATTGGGATGGGATTCATATTATACAGGTTTGGAAAGTTTTTATTATATGAATATATAGTGCCGGACAACTACAATATTCAAAATATATTATATATACACAGGATTTTCCAAAATGCACGTAGATAGCTGGTGGGATTCTTACTTAGAACATGGAGGAACCCCCAAAACCTCTGTGTATATATATATAGCGATGTACATACGATTCGAACATCAGGTTTGGAAAGTTTTTATTATATGAATATATAGTGCCGGACAACTACAATATTCAAAATATATTATATATACACAGGATTTTCCAAAATGCACGTAGATAGCTGGTGGGATTCTTACTTAGAACATGGAGGAACCCCCAAAACCTCTGTATATATATATATATAGCGATGTACATACGATTCGAACATCAGGTTTGGAAAAGTTTTTATTATATGAATATATAGTGCCGGACAACTACAATATTCAAAATATATTATATATACACAGGATTTTCCAAAATGCACGTAGATAACTGGTGGGATTCTTATTAGAACATAGAGGAACCCCCAAAACTCTGTATATATATATATAGAGCGATGTACATACGATTCGAACATCAGGTTTGGAAAATTTTTATTATATAAATATATAGTGCCGGATAATTACAATATTCAAAAATATTATATATACACAGGATTTTCCAAAATACACGTAGATAACTGGTAGGATTCTTACTTAGAACATAGAGGAACCCCCAAAACCTCTGTATATATATATATAGCGATGTACATACGATTCGAACATCAGGTTTGGAAAGTTTTTATTATATGAATATATAGTGCCGGACAACTACAATATTCAAAATATATTATATATACACAGGATTTTCCAAAATGCACGTAGATAGCTGGTGGGATTCTTACTTAGAACATGGAGGAACCCCCAAAACCTCTGTGTATATATATATATAGAGCGATGTACATACGATTCGAACATCAGGTTTGGAAAGTTTTTATTATATGAATATATAGTGCCGGCAACTACAATATTCAAAATATATTATATATACACAGGATTTTCCAAAATGCACGTAGATAGCTGGTGGGATTCTTACTTAGAACATGGAGGAACCCCCAAAACCTCTGTGTATATATATATATAGCGATGTACATACGATTCGAACATCAGGTTTGGAAAGTTTTTATATATGAATATATAGTGCCGGACAACTACAATATTCAAAATATATTATATATACACAGGATTTTCCAAAATGCACGTAGATAGCTGGTGGGATTCTTACTTAGAACATGGAGGAACCCCCAAAACCTCTGTGTATATAAATATAGCGATGTACAGACGATTCGAACATCAGGTTTGGAAAGTTTTTATTATATGAATATATAGTGCCGGACAACTACAATATTCAAAATATATTATATATACACAGGATTTTCCAAAATGCACGTAGATAGCTGGTGGGATTCTTACTTAGAACATGGAGGAACCCCCAAAACCTCTGTGTATATATATATATATAGCGATGTACATACGATTCGAACATCAGGTTTGGAAAGTTTTTATTATATGAATATATAGTGCCGGACAACTACAATATTCAAAATATATTATATATACACAGGATTTTCCAAAATGCACGTAGATAGCTGGTGGGATTCTTACTTAGAACATGGAGGAACCCCCAAAACCTGTGTATATATAAGCGATGTACATACGATTCGAACATCAGGTTTGGAAAGTTTTTATTATATGAATATATAGTGCCGGACAACTACAATATTCAAAATATATTATATATACACAGGATTTTCCAAAATGCACGTAGATAGCTGGTGGGATTCTTACTTAGAACATGGAGGAACCCCCAAAACCTCTGTGTATATATATATAGCGATGTACATACGATTCGAACATCAGGTTTGGAAAGTTTTTATTATATGAATATATAGTGCCGGACAACTACAATATTCAAAATATATTATATATACACAGGATTTTCCAAAATGCACGTAGATAGCTGGTGGGGATTCTTACTTGGAGAACATGGAGGAACCCCCAAAACCTCTGTGTATATATATATATATAGCGATGTACATACGATTCGAACATCAGGTTTGGAAAGTTTTTATTATATGAATATATAGTGCCGGACAACTACAATATTCAAAATATATTATATATACACAGGATTTTCCAAAATGCACGTAGATAGCTGGTGGGATTCTTACTTAGAACATGGAGGAACCCCCAAAACCTCTGTGTATATATATATATAGCGATGTACATAGGATTCGAACATCAGGTTTGGAAAGTTTTTATTATATGAATATATAGTGCCGGACAACTACAATATTCAAAATATATTATATATACACAGGATTTTCCAAAATGCATGTAGATAGCTGGTGGGATTCTTACTTAGAACACGGAGGAACCCCCAAAACCTCTATATAGCGATGTACATACGATTCGAACATCAGGTTTGGAAAGTTTTTATTACATGAATATATAGTGCCGTACAACTACAATATTCAAAATATATTATATATACACAGGATTTTCCAAAATGCGCGTAGATAGCTGGTGGGATTCTTACTTAGAACACGGAGGAGCCCCCAAAACCTCTATATAGCGATGTACATACGATTCGAACATCAGGTTTGGAAAGTTTTATTATATGAATATATAGTGCCGGACAACTACAATATTCAAAATATATTATATATACACAGGATTTTCCAAAATGCACGTAGATAGCTGGTGGGATTCTTACTTAGAACATGGAGGAACCCCCAAAACCTCTGTGTATATATATATATATAGCGATGTACATCCGATTCGAACATCAGGTTTGGAAAGTTTTTATTATATGAATATATAGTGCCGGACAACTACAATATTCAAAATATATTATATATACACAGGATTTTCCAAAATGCACGTAGATAGCTGGTGGGATTCTTACTTAGAACATGGAGGAACCCCCAAAAACCTCTGTGTATATATATATATAGCGATGTACATACGATTCGAACATCAGGTTTGGAAAGTTTTATTATATGAATATATAGTGCCGGACAACTACAATATTCAAAATATATTATATATACACAGGATTTTCCAAAATGCACGTAGATAGCTGGTGGGGATTCTTACTTGGAGAACATGGAGGAACCCCCAAAACCTCTGTGTATATATATATATATAGCGATGTACATACGATTCGAACATCAGGTTTGGAAAGTTTTTATTATATGAATATATAGTGCCGGACAACTACAATATTCAAAATATGTATATAATAGTATATATACACAGGATTTTCCAAAATGCACGTAGATAGCTGGTGGGATTCTTACTTAGAACATGGAGGAACCCCCAAAACCTCTGTGTATATATATATATATATAGCGATGTACATACGATTCGAACATCAGGTTTGGAAAGTTTTTATTATATGAATATATAGTGCCGGACAACTACAATATTCAAAATATATTATATATACACAGGATTTTCCAAAATGCACGTAGATAGCTGGTGGGATTCTTACTTAGAACATGGAGGAACCCCCAAAACCTCTGTGTATATATATATATATAGCGATGTACATACGATTCGAACATCAGGTTTGGAAAGTTTTTATTATATGAATATATAGTGCCGGACAACTACAATATTCAAAATATATTATATATACACAGGATTTTCCAAAATGCACGTAGATAGCTGGTGGGATTCTTACTTAGAACATGGAGGAACCCCAAAACCTCTGTGTATATATATATATAGCGATGTACATACGATTCGAACATCAGGTTTGGAAAGTTTTTATTATATGAATATATAGTGCCGGACAACTACAATATTCAAAATATATTATATATACACAGGATTTTCCAAAATGCAACGTAGATAGCTGGTGGGATTCTTACTTAGAACATGGAGGAACCCCCAAAACCTCTGTGTATATATATATAGCGATGTACATACGATTCGAACATCAGGTTTGGAAAGTTTTTATTATATGAATATATAGTGCCGGACAACTACAATATTCAAAATATATTATATATACACAGGATTTTCCCAAATGCACGTAGATAGCTGGTGGGATTCTTACTTAGAACATGGAGGAACCCCCAAAACCTCTGTGTATATATATATATATCTATATGTATAGCGATGTACATACGATTCGAACATCAGGTTTGGAAAGTTTTTATTATATGAATATATAGTGCCGGACAACTACAATATTCAAAATATATTATATATACACAGGATTTTCCAAAATGCACGTAGATAGCTGGTGGGATTCTTACTTTAGAACATGGAGGAACCCCCAAAACCTCCGTGTATATATATATATATAGCGATGTACATACGATTCGAACATCAGGTTTGGAAAGATTTTATTATATGAATATATAGTGCCGGACAACTACAATATTCAAAATATATTATATATACACAGGATTTTCCAAAATGCACGTAGATAGCTGGTGGGATTCTTACTTAGAACACGGGGGAACCCCCAAAACCTCTACTTAGAACATATATGAACATATATGTTCTAAGTAGTGGTCCAGGATCTCTACTTAGAACACGTTTTGGAATTCCAAAACCAATGTTCTAAGTAGTTGTCCGGCGCTATATATGTGATTATCTTCATATATATATATATATACATATGCGTGATTATATGTTACTATATATATATATGTGTACGATTATATATAATATATACATGCATATATAATCACATATATATATATATATATATATATACACATGTGTGTGTGTACTTGGGCCACTCAAATTCAAAGGTACATATTTTTAGGAAACGGGTAGATATTGAAAAGCACCACATGTTTGCCCAAACGCTTTGGTTTTGTGTAGTAGTGTAGTCTTTAGTTCTTGCCCACTGCTTTCCATGCAACTTGTGCTCAAATGTTTGAATCTGAACCAGTTCTGACTTGCAAGCATGGGGCTGGGTGAGAAGCCTAGTTATAGTTGCTTTCACAGTTTGTTTATTGAGTGATGGACCTGGGCACATATGATGTGACTGACATTAGCCGCTTTAGAATTGTACCACATGTTGTCACTGGCCTTGCGTGAACGCGAAATGATGCGAACAGTATGTCTAATTGCCACTTGATCGCTTGTTTTGACAATGATGTCATGTATGCTTGGGGACCCTTTTTCGTATGGTCCGAACAGAAGGCATGGTCTGAACAGAATGGCATGACCCGAACAGAAGGCATCGGGTTTTGAGCTTATACGGCGGGTTTTCAGTATGTTCCTTGGCGGTTCCTATATGTACCTTTTGAGTTCATGCATGATTTCAGCTTCCCTTTGTACCCAAGTGTTCATGTCATGTTGCTGTGATGCTGTCATGGTGCGTGTGCAGCAGGATTCTTCGGATAGGCTTGATTTTACTGTTGATTTGTTGTCGTGCTATAAAGTGTGAAATATCAAAAGATTGTGTGTTCAAGGTATGAAAAGCACAAATGATGTTGGAGTGGACACTGGACACGTTTGATTTTCCCTGTCCAAGACTTGGTTGTTTTACATGTGCTGCGAGACAATCCAATGTACTGCAGATACTTTGCTACTGTCACGCACAGCTGTTCGGGTCGTGGTGTTTCACTCAAACTGTACACAGCTACTGTCACGCCGTTTGGATGCCTGAAACAATGCGCCGTTTGAATGCCCAGGAGTATATCTATATATATATAACATACATCCCAATCTTTGTTGGTTGGAGCTTCCATTTTAGTCATAAAAGCATCATTTTACATCCCAATAATAATGTCAAAACCCTTCAAAACCTGTCAAAAATGTCAAACAATGTCAAAATTGTTAGTTCAGTTTGGTTGCTTCGATCCTCCATCCATTTGCAGTAGCACTGTTCATGCTATATTAATCTATATCTGGTTGGTGGTTTGGAACATGGCTTTGATTTTTCCATATGTTGGGAATGTCATCATCCCAACTGTTACTCACTCCATCATTTTTCAGAGGGGTAGGTTGGCCCCCACCAACCAGATATGATTTGTGCGCCATGACTCCATGACTCCATGACCCAGATTGGGACGTTGGGACCATTGAGGCCCGCGAAATTGGTTGCACCGCTATGGCTTAGCCTTCAAAGACTGCCATGGCCAAGTGATCCGTTTGCAGAGTCCCGTTCCAGCAGATTTGAAGGACCCTAAGGGACCCCAAGGGACCCCAAGGGACCAAGGGAAAGTTTTGGAGGGATTTTTGGATCATCCTTGGATGATGTGTTCGGATTTGGATCAAAGTGAAGCAGTTTCATTTGGGAAATAACCGTAACCAGCGAAACCTCCCACATGTTTCTTTTCTATTTCGTTTCCGGATTATTCTTTCACACTTGGAAACATGCAGAACTGCAGTTCCCAGCCCGTGCTGCGTTCCAGTTTGCCAGGAGGCAATGAGGCAGACACTTGGACTGCGTGACATCGAGGGGCCATATGGCAGATGGACGGTGGCTGAGGTCTTCAACATGGCATTGATGTTCGGTTATGTTATATTGCGTATATATATATATATATGCAGATGCATATAGAATATTATATGCATTCATTGATTGATGTTGGATTAATGTATGCTATGTTGTGTTCAATCCTTCAAGGTTGTCCGATTCTCACGGACTCGTTAAGTCAGATTTCTTTGGAGCGTCCATGGTCCACCCAACTGAGGATGACGATTGTGAAAACCTGTCAGCTCGATGTGGATGGTTGGCTGAAGGACTGGTCAAATCATCCCAACGCAAGAACATATGTTCAATGGACAGGTCCTTGTTATATTGCTTGCACAGCCTTTGATGATGTATACATATATACATCTTACAAGTTTTTTGTTGTTTTTATTTCATTGTACTGAACCAGATTGAACCTAAACTGTAATCCGAAATCAGCATTTCCCCATGATTTGTATATGGTGCTGGATGACAGGAGTGCGAAGAAGAGGAAGAAGAAGAAACAACATGAGTTGGCATGAGCAGTCCGTTTCTGCTTGGCAAATCGATGTATACATCAAACAACCTCTAGCTGATGATCTAAATGACAAGAATGGAAAACGATACTGAAATAACCTTGTCTGAATTTTGTGAGGCAATTGATTTCGATCTAGTTATGATCTACGATTATTTGCCTATATATGTTGATTTATGTAGGATACTGAGCAATACATAGTATCAACTCCGATTGGTGCAGGGGAAATCCAATGGAACGGTTTGATCAATTCCCACTGCGGTAGAATCCTTTGGTTCTTGCGAGTGGTTCTTGCAAGTGCGAACAAAAATGAACAAACACTTGCAAGGTACTCGTAGTGGCATGTTTACTCAGTGCTGCCAGCATCGTGCGTCGCTGCCGGCAACAAAAAATGAACGAAGTGTGATCTGAAGAAATGTTCAAGAAAAGCAAGATCTTTATTGCTTTTCCAGTTGTTTTGTTCAATTGTGTATGTTGCATTGTATAGGAACGGTCCAGAATATTTTACCGAATACTTTGAATTTCCTTTGACCACTGTGCCGAGGCCCGAAACCCAGGTGCCTCCTGGGGTGGACCCGATGGAAGGGTGATGTCTTTGTTTTCAGCTAGTTTGCCCCGTGAATTTTTATGTCTTGGATCAACTCAAAAATGTTCTGTTGTGATTTGTTTTGTGGATTTTTGTGGGTTTTATCAATTCTTTGTAAATATGTTGGTATGTTTTTGATTTGTCATTGCATTTTTTGGCGGGACGCTTGGAGAGGGTTGGATTTCTGGTCCCCTGTTGGGATTGTGGGGCAGAAGAGTTTTAACAGGAAACTGGTCAACAGAGGAACGGAAGACGCTTGAGAAGAACCTTGCGATCTTTGCTGTTCTTGTAGCGACTGAAGGGGAGAGCTTGCATTCAGTTGCTTTGGTGACGTGAGCCGGACGTAATTTTTTGGCTTTCAGAGCTCAGTCGTCATCAAAGACCTAGCTCTGAATTACTTCCTTGAGTTTCAAGGCCGTGAGGGTGGAGGGATGGGTTCAGGCTGGTGGTCTTACAGATTCTCAAGGCTAGCCTTTTGTGAGATGATGAATCGACTTACATTCTTTCTGGTTGACACGCCATCCAGAGAAGTTGGGATTTGACAACAGCTTCAGCGGAACTTGAAACTGTGAGCCGCCATGCAGGTTTATCGCAATGAAGAAGGCTGGGCATACGGAAGCTTACTGCATACCAATCCCCAACTGGTGGCCCTGGGAACCGATGAATCAATCATCTTTTGGGCAGAGGGTCCTTATGTGGCTTTGTCTGTAAATAGGGTACCCCAAGATCCATGATTAATAATCAGTTGCCTACCGTATCCCATTGACATGCTGTAAATCGATGCAACATCTACCAGTCTGTCAGCAATTTCCAGAGACACCCAGTGGATCCCAATGGTATTTGTTCACAATACCTGATGGAATCTAAGCACGTATCTCTAAGCCCAAGTCTTCCACACATAATCCAGTTGATGGTGATACTGCCAGGATCCGCTAAGCTTGATTTTTTGTGGCTTATATCAACAATATCAATCCTTATTGTCATTTCCAGCTGGACTACAGGTTGAGTTTCAGGTTGAAGTTGGATAAGTGTTTTTTTTGGTTTAATATATATATATATATCAATACATTACAATACACCATCTCTCTTTGTTTAACAATATTATATATATATTCATATATATATTCCATATTTTGCATCTATGCAGATGCCTTTGATCCTTTTCCCAGAGACATCCTGTGCTGCTTTGGACATCATTTTTTCCAGGTCCTCATCCTTTTGGCCCTGCCCAGCGTGGCGCTGAAGCAAAGCCTGGGCATCAGCCTCGAAGTGCAAGAAGCGGCTCAGCCAAATCTGAATAATGTGGGTAAACAATAATAAACAGGTCGTATCAATTATTTAAATGCTGGTTTACACCATAAATAGGTGATATAAACCATAAATCAATATAAATCATAGGTGGTATTATCCACAATTTCACCATGAATAGGTGGTATATAATATTAGAATATATATATATCTCTCTCTCTCTCTCCCATTCATGGCTGGTTTATGACATTGTTGTAACCAGAATGATTCTAAGTTCTACTGAATTTGATCAGAATAAGGGCATGCCGGGATGATGAGTCCCAACGAATGTGTGTTTCCGCAGGTGGATGCTTGGGGGCAGGTCCATTGCTGGTTGGAACACCACAGGTTTAAACCACCTGGTTGTATAAACCATCTTGTACTTCGAATAGTTGTATTATTTCTTAAATCATGTGTATTACCAAAATGCAGGAAGCAGCAAAAAGTACAAACAGGTAAAGAGCCATTTGCATCCAATTGGTCATTCTTTGAATGGGCTATTTCTTGCCCCCTCTAAGAACCCATCGCTGCATCGCTGCGGCTGGAACCCTTCCAGGACTTGTCTGCCAAAACCGTCGCCGACGCGCAGCGCTTGGCGTCGAGACCCAGGGAGTGGTAGCGATCATCATCACTTTGGAGTTGGCTTAGGGCCCCCAAAAAAGGATTCCTACTTCAAGTGGTGCCCTTTTATGTTTGGTATGAATGTAAATCCATATTAGATCCATATATTTCTTAAACCCCCTATATCTCTACCCCATCCAATCCAGCATAGCTCGAGGCTCCCCATGTATTGCACAACGTGCCATTCGTGACATGCCCAGGTGCAGGAACAACTGCGGGGGTCAGTCGCTTCCTGCAAGGATTTCACTTGTAGCACCTGCGGCTGAAGTGGGAATGGGGGATGTGACCAGGACTTTGTTGGGGATTTACCATCACCAAAATGGCTATGAGTCAAAACCCTGGGACCTAAAAATCCCTAAGTTCATGGATGATATGTTAATAGGATTGATGGTTAACAACCAGTGAAAGACCAATTATAGTGTTAAAATGGGTAAACCCTCATTGAGAATTTATAGATTTACTATCAACTATTGTTACAATGTGGTGAACCCCCATGAAAACCATGAAAACCCACATCCCAGACACCATTTGAGGGCTCATATTGGGGGGTGAGCTATTGGGAGCCGCTGGGAGCCCGGTGATCCCTAAAAAGATCAATGGGTAGCAAAACCAACAGCCACTTACATGATCAATGGGTATGTCACCATGGGGATTTAACCACCACATATAGTGGAATCATGGAATATAGGATAGGAAGGGGATATCATTGTGATCATTTGGATGATGAAACCCACATCTTTGTGTGGGCTTCTTGTTTTTGATTCTGTATCCCGCCGCCTCGTCCTCCTCCTCGTCCTCCTCCGCCGCCTCCGCGTCATCCACCATCTTTCACACACAACTTTGTTACATTACGCAACACTGTCACACACCAACTTTGTCACCACCATCTTTCACACACCATCTTTCACATACCACTTTGTCACGCACAAATCTTCACATACAACTTGTTTTACTTCTCGTTCCTCCACCACATCCTTTGTCTTTCCTTCCTTCCCCGTCCCCGCTACAACATTTGTTGCTCATTATCATTGGAAGAAGTTGACTTGTGGGGTTATCGGGTCCTTTCATTTTTTTTTTCAAGACCTCACGTCGCGGCACTGGATTGATGGTTAGGATTAGGGTCACTATCCCAAACAACAGCCTCGAACTTTTCAGATTAGTGACTTATTGTGATTTATCCAGATGATTGGTGGTTTCAAAAAGGTGAAGCAACAAATGGGTAACCGGTAAAGAGCAATGATCAATGCATGTTGCCATGTTCCCCTCGGAAATCCTACAGCAATTGGGTGATCCCAGTGGAGTTCTATGGCCTTGTGATGGGTACCGCTGAGGCCGATCCAGGCCGTGTCTGGTGTTTTAGGCAACGAATATCACTGAGTAAACCTGGGGTGGTTGGAATGGCTGGTTTGGTTTAAAACTAGAAACACCTTGATTTGTTACTGATATCCGTTGTACGCTTTTTAGCGGGGTCGAACAGCCAGCAACACTTGGATCAGCGATGAACATGGTGGATGACTGGGGATGCATCCGTTAAACATCTCGGAGAGCAGAGAATCGGCTCATCAAATGAAACACACATTGTATGTGTATATAGAACGCACTAATCAAGTGCCCACAGCTCTACCATGAATCCGCAGCATCCGCGTTCCAAATCTGGATCTGGTCTCAAGCCAAGGCGATGGTTGGACACCAAAGCCAGACCATGGTGAACTCAAAGGCCCATGTGTTTTGTCATGGCTTATTAATACAGTCATGGGATGTTTTAGGATGTCGACAGCCCTGTTGTTGTTTGCGATGTTGGTTAAGACATGTTCCGGGCATACTCAGTTCGTGGTGCTCATAGCTCTGCAACAAATGCAAACGTTAAGTATACCGGGAAAGTATTTGTCTCAAGTCTTGTTTGAAACCACTTGTTCGGACAATTCTTATTCTATCTATTTCATTTTTACTTCCTGGTATTTATATAGTGTCCCTACAGGATGGGGCCCCCAAGATAGCCAAGTTGCCTTATAAGTGGTTTAACTATGGTTTATGGGGTTTAAAACACATAAACCAACTTATAACTGGGGGTCACCATCCTGTATCATGTTGGACGACCCATGTTTCGCAGTCGCTCTGACAGGAAGCAGCGACGCGGTGTGCTGCCAGCAAACCTGCCAGCTGTTCACTTGCGGCATGGGTTATGTTCCCTGGCACGTTTTGGAGGGAACCGTTCTTGAAAATTATTTACCCTCCCTGGACCCCTAAAAAAGCGAAACAAAAAGATATGCTTAAACGATCAGAAATGGGGATGTTTGTATGGTTTGGATGGAATTGGATGGACGGAATTGACCAACTTCAGTTTTGGTCCCATACCCATTTGACTGCTCAGTTGTTTCTCACTGCTTCGGTTCTTGCCAGGCATTTGCCGGAAGTAAAGGAAATAAACATCTAATTGGTTGATGGTTTCACATGCACGTGTTTGAGTTTTCAATTATGGACATGGGATTGTACTGGATTGTATTTATTATCCCGGTTATCCGTAACACATATTTTCCCACCCAGCAGTGCGCTGCACTGTCTAGCTCCAAACATAATTCAACCACCAAAGCCGACCTTTAGACCCAAAAAAATCACCCTGGCCACTGGTGGCCGAATCATCGAGGTTGCCAACAAGGGCTATGCCAAGAACGTTGGCTCGACTGCTGGACAATGCTGCGACAAGACCTGCCATGGTTTCTCCTGCCCTAAGCATTTGCAGGTGGAGGGGCCGTGGATAGGAAACTGAAGGGACACCAACCAAAATGATATGAGGTGGTCATACCAATCTAATTCTATCTTTTTTAATATTCGTTCTACACACCTCCATGTTTTACTAGGTTAAAGTTTTTTAAGTAATACATATACCTGGACCTTCGAATGTTACTTAAATTTATGCCTCCCCCCCTGTTTGATACACTTTTTCGGGTTTGGTACCTAAATTGCAAATCCGAGCGGAAATGTCAAATTCGCGCATTTTTTGGACATTTGCCGGCTGGACAATCAAACATGAGAAATCCGAGCGTTTTTTGACTGCAAATTCGAGCGCAAATATCCACAAAACGAGCGCAAATATCCACAAACGAGCGCGAAAAACAAAAAAAGGGTCACTCTCAACGGGACCACATGGTTTCAGATCTTGATTCGAACGTTTTTTTTGAGTTCGAACTTTTTCTGGAACTTGTAAGCCAAAAATCTCGTAGCGAAAATTTAAGTATCAATTGAAGGTCCAGGTAGGCTAATAGAGCTCCTAGTTTTTTTCTATAGCCTGGTTTTGGCTCTCAACTCCCTGCGTTGATCCCCAGGTGGCCCCGCAGATGCTGAACAAAGCTGGAAACACCGTGGAGGCCAGTGACCTCATGGTTTCAGCAGCCTGCAATAAAGATGTCCCTTAAAACCAATGGAGTGAAGATAGTGAAGGTCTAAGATGTTGGTCCAGCCAGTGATATGATTGATATAGGGCCAAAACCTGCAACATGTATTCAACATGTCAGTTTTGGCTGGCAAAAGCTTGCATCTGTTGATATGAAACCAGTGCTGGGAATGCAGAACTGATGGTTGCTCTTATGTACCTTATATGTGCAACTCGTATAGATGGGGATTTCACATGTTTTAATATGATCACCCCATATCACCCCTGTCGGGGACATGCCAAGTATACCGTTGCGCCTCGGATGGCATCTCTGGAATCACCTGCAAAAAAAATAGACATGTTGGAATGATTATCGAAAGTATATATAGCAATCTAAATGTGTACTGTATGTATGAGACAACAAGAACTTGATAGCTTTCAGTGATATGTTTATTTTCCATTCAAATGATCAAATGGATGATGATTCCGAGCCACTTTCATAGGGATCAAAAGCTCCACCACTTGTCCAACGATGTTTTGAAAAAAATGCATAGGGATTCCACCACCATCCCTCCCGAAGAACTAACATGGACCATGTAAAACTGTAAAACCCATGAATATAGATACTCTACATAGCCATTAGATATATAGCCATATATATATATATAGACATATATAGATGCTTTCTTAGTTCAGTATATTGTTTTTCCCAGATGTTTGGTCCCCGAAGTTGCCAGGAGTGCTGTGCCGAGACTTGCTCAGAGGTGACCTGTGAGGCCAACTATGCCAAGAAGAGCGAGCTGAAGGCGTCTCTCATGGGATTTGGAAGGGGAAATCACCGGAAACCATGGGTTTTTACATGTTTTTTACCATAAATATATCTGGGCAAATTATAACGACCTCACTGCGACCTCACTGGAAATCATGGTTCGTAAGAGACATTATCCCAATTATAGCCTTATTTCAGGTTTGTGAATTATTCTCATTTACCCAGATATATATGGCTTTCCTGTAAGACTTCCCGATTTCCCGATTTCCCAATCCCATAAATCCCAGTTTCAAGCAGGTTTTCGTTGATGTGACTTGGGAGAAAAAATCTCTGAGAAATTCCCGGAGGAAAAACAAACAACTGCTGATTTGAGATCGTATTTGGATGTATTTGGGAGGGTTGCTGTGACTGGCAACACCCACTAAACTTTGATGATTTCTCTGGTTTGGAAGGGGATCAATCCCAATGAATCTATTTTGGATCACAGGCAATGTTCCCGTGCACGTCAGCTCCCACTGGTGCACAGGACAAGGTCCACCCCCCTGGTGAAGCACAGAGCTTTTGCTGTGCAGAGACCTGTGCTTTGCACACCTGCGGCAAGAACATGGCACCAGATGAAGATCGATACTTGACACTGCAAATGGTCGGGTAATGGAATCAATCGAAGGCTCGATTTTTGAGGCAGTTGTCCCTGGCTGAACTCTGGCCCCACGCGGTTGAAGATTCCTTGGGATTTGCGGTGTTCATTGGGTTTTCAATGGTGCCCATAATCATTATCGGAGCGAATGATCAGTCATGCGCCTTCAAGCTGCGCCACGTCATCCTCGATATGTGGTTCACTATTGGGTATAACTAGACAGGAACAAAGGTATAACACATTTTGCCAACACATTTTGCCTCCAGTGCCTGTGCTAATCTTGACATTTCTTGAATTCCAGGGTGTTCTTATGGTTTTCCTATTGCCCTGGTGTTTACTGGAGGCTGTCCAACAGGGGCAACATTCGACGCCATCGGCTCAATCATTCACAAGCCATGCCAGCATATTTCGATATGTTTGATATGCTGTGTAATTGCCCAAAAAAGTGATTGACCTTGAATGATTTCGAAACATGTGCAATACACACTAATTATATGGTTTAAGGTTGAGTATGTTTGAGTAGTTAGGCGATTCGTCCAAGATGAGCTAGAACCCCTATTATAATCTAACGTACAGTAGATCTAGGAGATCCTTTTACTATATATGTAATATTAGTAATATAGATCTATTATAGATCCTTACTCGCGCAACCAGTGTACAGGCCAAGACGCCAGAAGGTTTTGAGGCAGGTGAACCCCCCCGAAAGATGTTTCCACCTCTCCCATTCCAAACCACATCTTTGATGCGGCCGTCGCTAGCCACTTCCAACTGCCATGGAGCCTGACCAGCGACAGCCGAGCATCCAGCAGGTTTGGGAAGTGCATCCTTCACCTTACGGCGTGCCGTACTACTACAATCCCAAGACCAAAGAGTCACGGTGGACGGTCCCCACGGGACCCTTGGATCGTGTGGTGCCCAAGGAAGTTTCGCAGGAGGCTTCTGTGGCCACTCAAGTGGCCGAAGAAACCAAGACACTGGCTGGTGAATTTAGTTGTTTATTTGTTCTTTCTTCTTCTGATGACACTTAAGATGCATTTGTATCATTACAGTATATACAAAATATCACACAACTTTACAATTTATATATACAATTGTACAGTCTACAATGATACACACTGAAATTGATTCAAAATCAATTTCAATTGGCGCATATTTTTGTGGAAAGCCCCATCGGCCAGGAAAGAACCAGAGGTGGAATGCATCTCCAGTTCTTGTTCCAGCACCTCAGAGTCAGATGATGTGCCAAATCCCCTGTCTGCAGCTGAACGTGCCAAACTGAAGGTGGGGCTATGCTGTGAGCTTGGAGACCCCAATTCCCAAGGTTTCGTATGAAATGTATGTTATATTACGTTATTTTTGCCGGTTGTTTGCCCATGGGTCTATGTTTCTGCATCATGGCTCATATCATCTTACATCTTACATCCCCATTCTTTCTGACCCCACAAATCATACAAATCCCAAGAATACATCCCCATAAAAAAATGGTAAAAGGGGGGTTCTGGGGCATGGGGGTTTGTATGTTGCCTTGTTTGGTTTTATGTTGGGTTTCGTCGTTTGTTCGTTGCTGTTGATGTTTTTCTTGGTGGGGGTTCTGGGGTTTGGGGTTCATTCATCATCTTCATCGCCTCATCCATTTCACCAAAAATCACACTTTCAGTTAGTGGCACTTTACCTCATTCGTTTTTTCATCATTTCTCATCATCTCATTCTTGGCATCTCATTCATTTGTCATCATTCATCTCTTGCCTCACTTCGCCAACTTTTCGCCTACCCTCATTCATGTTTTTCATCATTTCACATCATCATCATTTGTTGTTTCTCATTCATTTCTGCATCTCAAGTTTCATCAGGGTTCTCTCATTCATTTTTTCATTCATTGGTTTATGGGTTTTAATCATACTGTGGTTTTAGGCTTTAGGATTTATGGCTAATATAATATTTGTGGTATGATTATAAGTGTAAGTCCTATAGTTTTTCATTCATCGTCCTCCATTTTGTCCCTCCATTGCTTCTTCCTCATCAACTTCTTTCAGAAATCAGTTGGGAAGCCCAGAGTTTGGAGCAAGTGAAGTTTCAAACTTGGAAGGAATGAGCAATGCATCATTTACATATATATATATTGTAATAGTAGTATTTCAAGGTTCTTTTGTTGCTTTTTGTTTGTTCGTGTTTTACTTGCCCCCCTGGTCCGCCCCGTTGCTACGACTTCATCGCCAACCTCTTTGGATGTGTCGTCCGGGCACTCGGTCTTCAAAAATGATGGATTTTTGACGTCCTGCATCTGGCATGACTTGTTGCTTGGAGGTAGGATTTTAGGGTGATGAATGTGTTTTTCACTTGAAGTTTGCATTCAGTCAGACATTCAGTCAGGCGTGAGATGGCGTGAGGTTGTCAGATGCCAAAACAGAGCTTGAACCTCCGAAGAGTAGCTTCCATGGCAGAGCCATTTCAACTATTCAAACCATTTCGTAGAAGAGCACAGCGGGTTGAAAGCGCACTGTTGCTGAAGCCCCATGTCGAGCCATTGCGTGATGACGATGCTTGTGGCACTGCTTTTGGCATTCACTGCACGGACATTTGCCGAGGAGACTAACATGAACGTGAGTGGAAAGCAGATGGTGCAGGAATTGGCCAAGGGCAACATGAGCATTGGCGGGAATCACTCGGTGGCAACATCCAATAACGCAACGTCCCAGAGCAAGGCCTTGCTACGTGGCGCGGTGAACAAGAATGCGATGTACAACAGCAGTGGAAATGATACCAAAAGCTATGGTTGCCAAACGTATTGCAGGTTCGAGTCGCAGCGTCTCGGTTACGCTAGACATTCTTATCATTGCATTAGCAATTCATGCTGGTGTTCGCATGGTAACTCCTGGCACAGCAGCGCTTCTTGCTCGGCAGGAGCGTGTTGCAGGTTTGGAACGTCGGCGTGCTATGGTCACTGCGGTTCGGCCGGTTGGCCGTTCTCCAGGTGCTTTTACAACCAATGCTCTTGCACTCAGAATTCGTGGTATAAAACAAGTGCAACATGCAGCTAAAGATACAACCTGCGCAGATGCAAGATCAAGGGTCTACACGGTAATTGATTCGCCCCTCACCAAGGTAGCTCTGATGCAGGCTTGGATGAGGCGGGAAAGAACGGCAACACGAAGTTTGCCACACCTTTCTTTTGAGCTACTGTATAGAGGTTGCTACAACAGCTTTTGACCTACCCCGGTTGTTTAGATAGGTCTGGACACAGATTTACAGATGTGACACAGACCATTGCGATGAGAGAAAAAACGCCTTCGCTTCGTTGCCGCTCTACATGCTAGGCAGTCGTCGCGACTTGAGGGTTGGTGTGGAAAGGCTCTTCAAAGCTTGACATTCTTGAGCATTTGCCTGTTAGTCTTATTCAGGAATGCAATGGTTTGCTGACATCTTTGCGACGATGCGGTGTGAGGTTGAAAATGGACTTTTGCTCTCACGATGTTTTCTTTCAGATTTGGTATGTGAAAATCCACATTGGAGTTGTCATGTGGCACATCCAGAATGCGAGGTTTCACATCAGATATGTGATGTGCCACATCGGGAGTCTGAGGGTTTCAGATGACATAGGGTTTAAAAGGGACAATCTTCCACTAAAACAGGATACATTATCACATCAGATTTGTGATGTGTCGGAGCTGGAGCACAGAACAATCACATCACATTTTCGGTGTGCCACTTCGCCCAACGCCGAGGTCTAGAAGACATCTCTGCTGTGCCCTTTTCGAAGGCACATCCCAACAACGTGTGAAGAACCCATCTTTTTTCGGTCAGATTTCAACCAAAGTTTGGAGCAAATGACCTGACCAAATATTTTGTTCAAATCAATATTCTTCGGTTATAAAACTATATCATATCATAAATATTGGGAGTCAATACACGGCACATTAAGCAAAACCATTCTTCAGGCTTGAGTAGTCAAGTTTTCTCGTTCAATCATTCATTGGTATAGGACATTTCCATATCCATTTCAATCAGAGCCTTGGGAACAAATCACATTGCCGAGCAACCTGCCACCTTTTAACATTTGGTATTCGTTTCAATCAGAGCCTTGGGAGCGAGCCACATTGCCGAGCAACCTGCCACGCACCTATTCTATAACCACCTAATCATTTACCTATTGTCTATCCATTTATTTTATTTATCTATCTATCCTTACCCACTTAACCCATTGTTTATCTGAACCTGTCAGAAGGGACGTCTTCACCATCATCAAGCGTCGGGCGCTGGGAATTGGGCTGTTAGGATTTAATGTAAGATTGTAGGATGGTTCTAGGAGGGTTTTAATATTTTTTATAATATATAATATGATGAATTTTGATGAGTAGGATTTAAGGGGATGGATGCTGATGGACGATTATATAAAATGGGGGTGAGTTGGAGGAGGGAGCGAACCGCTCTTGGGTAATACTTCAAAGCATACCCCTCCACTCACCCCCATTTTTTCCGTTTTTGGATGTTTTTTGATGATGGTTCTTGTTGGTGATAGGCGCAGTATGGGAAGAACCCCCAAGTCAAGGTCCCCTCAGCGGATTGCCCATTTCATTCCTCTGTTAGGGAATGGAATGCCCTCTCTGCTGGAACCCCCATTTGGGAGATATAACCACGATGACAACGATATAGGACGAAGTCATTTATGACGACGACAGTGGAAGGAACACCATTTGGAGTGCAAAGAGTGGCAAGTGGAAGGAACAGCATTTGTTATATGAAGCGTGGCAAGTCTTAGGCACAAGCATTTTTCCATACCTAACCCCCACTTAATGACACTGAGGCACAGAAAATTTGATATACCTAAAATTTTATCACCTTAAAATACTTAAAGACTAGTCGCCTTATATAATAAAGTAAGATTACCTGCTATATGGTAATTGATGGTATTAAGCAAGAAATGGACGAAGACCTTTTTGACCAAATGGCACAAGCGCTGCACAACCCCCCAACACACAATGAACAACCCTTCACAACAACCACCCGATGGCAACCCGACGGAACATACAACAAGAAACCCCTAGACCCCGAATACTTCACTAAATACTACCATAAAAAACTCACAACCCCATTCAAGTGCCCAGACTGCGGACGAACAATAAGTAGTAAATCAAATTTATCCAAACATCGTCAAAGCAAAGTTTGTATTCAGAACAGACGTCATTGATGAAGCGTTGAACCACAACCCCAAACCCCAAAATCCCAACAGGCAACCAAAAAGCAAAAATACTTAAAGAAATATTACCTTATATATCAAGTAGGAAGTGGGAGAGGGTGTAAGGTTGAATAATTTTTCTTATGTTGAACTCCAACCCAACCAACCACAACTTCAACCACAACAACCCAATCCGAAAACCGCCCCAGAAAAAAACACTTAAAGAAACACTACCTAATAATAATATAGATAATACTATAATGGACACTTCACAGCAGAACGTATTAGATTACCGTTTATCATCCGAAATGGGTGAGATTAACAACAAGAAACTCAAGATAGGAGAGAAGACATACAACTTTGAACGAAACAAACCACTAACACAAAGACTGAAAACCAAATTCAACAAAATCCGTCAAACGATGGAATACAAAAAAATTGAACTGAAAGAGAAGAGAGACAAGAAATGGGTAAGCCTAGACAAGAACAAAGCACTAACAGGAATACAAAAACGCTACAAGGCAACAATCACAGACGAACAGTCAGCTTTCAAAAACTATACTACATCTTATGCTATTAGTGATATTAAGGTAAAAGGTGTTAAAGCATTACAGTATCTTAAGTATCAAGACTACAGATTGAAAGAATACCTCAAGAAACACAAAGGACTAAAAGTCATACTTCAGACCTTCAGCAACTTCAAGAGCAAGAAGAACGACGAAGTAGTGAGAAGAGAAATTAAGAGTAGAAGATACGAAATAACTAATGAAGAGGAAATACCCAATGTATTAAATCAAATGGCAACTGATATAGAGCATCAAGCGGAAGTGCTAGAAGTGTCAGAGAGCGGACTAGTCTTAACCCAAATGGATAAGATGAAATTCAATTTAGATAAGTATAACCCAACTCGTGGAGGTAAGTTCATACCCTTACCTAAATGGGTTTCAGATAAGAAAGCGTGTATCAACATTCAAAACGAAGACAATAAATGTTTTTTGTATTCCATTCAGTGCGGTGTATGTAAGGTATATGAGAAAGACCATCCAAACAGATTATATAGATACAAAAATCTTAATGATGAATTGAACTGGGATAATGTAAATTTTCC